GTTTTCTCACACCATCTTGGAATCATCATTACGATTCTTCCCATCAGAAAACCCTGGCTGAGTTGCTATGATGTTTGCAAAGCTCGATTTAAAATGAACATTGCTGTGGTTGAGTTGGTTGCGTTCTGATTTGCAGAGTGGATGTTTTCATGCCCCACTTTACCCCATGCTTATCAAGTACTGCAGAGCTGTGAGGGGAGGTTAGCGAGAGCATGAGGTAGCATTAGAGTGAGTGTCCTGCACCTGCTATTTGAGACGTTTTCTGCACAGAGGCTGTCCAGGAAGAAACTAAGACCCCAGATTAGTAATGATGGCACAGAATTCTGTCACCATTAGGTCACTTGCTCAAATCTGACTGAGGTCAATGAAAATGTTTAGTGGCCCGTTTGAGCTGAGTTGCTGATATCCGCTCCCTGGGTAGAGGGCAAGGGCCATGTTTTGCCTCAGACTCGCCAGATAAACTCACACTGTGGACGGCTATCTCTAAGCACCCGCACTGCCAGTTTCCCTCCACACCTGGCACCCTCATTGGCAGTCTCAGCAGAGGAGGGCAAAAAAGAAAGAGAGCCACCCCGAAAGTGATCCTCCAAGCTCAGGGCTGAGGCACAGTGGCAGCAGGGCAATGTGGGGAAAGTTCGTCTTGCAGCTGCCTGTGCTGGGCTGGTTTTGGGGATAAATTGAGGCCTGCACTCTCCAGGGCTGTCAAGCTGTCCTTCCCTCCACCTTTCCTATAAAGAAAAGAGTGTGTGTGTGTGTGTGTGTGTGTGTGTGAGAGAGAGAGAGCGAAACCCCAGATGTGGTGACAAGGGAGGGCAAACTTCTGGTGTAAAATCAAGCCGAGGTGAACACAATCATAGGACTGGAAGAGAATTTAAGATGTCATCTAGTTCAGTCCCCTGCAATCCTGGCAGGACTAAATATTATCTAGACTATCCCTGACAGGTGTTTGTCTAACCTGTTCTTAAAAATCTCCAATGATGGAGATTCCACAACCTCCCTAGACAATTTATTCCAGTGTTTAACCATCCTGACCGTAAGGAAGTTTTTCCTAATGTCCAACCTAAACCTTCCTTGCTGCAGTTTAAGCCCATTGCTTCTTGTCCTATCCTCAGAGGTTAAGAAAAACAATTTTTCTCCCTCCTCCTTGTAACAACCTTTTATGTATTTGAAAGCTGTTATCATGTCCCCCCTCAGTCTTCTCTTTTCCAGACTAAACAATCCCAGTGTTTTCAATCTTCCCTCATAGCTCATGTTTTCTAGACCTTTAATCATTTTTGTTGTTGTTCTCTGGATTTTCTCCAATTTGTCCTTAGCAGTGTGGAGTAGAGCAGAATTACTTCTGTTGTCTCTCTTACAATACTCCTGCTAATACATCCCAGAATGATGTTTGCTTTTTTTGCAACAGCATTATACTGTTGACTCATATTTAGCTTGTGGTCCACTATGACCCCCAGATCCCTTTCTGCAGTACTGCTTCCTAGACAGTCATTTCCCATTTTGTATGTGTGCAACCGATTGTTCCTTCCTAAATGGAGTACTTTGCATTTGTCCTTATTGAATTTCATCCCATTTACTTCAGACCATTTCTGCAGTTTGTCCAGATCATTTTGAATTTTAATCCTATCCTCCAAAGCACTTTCAACCCCTCCCAAATTGGTATCATCCACTCACTTTATAAGTGTACTCTCTATGCCATTATCTAAATCATTGATTGAAGATGTTGAACAGAACCATACTCAGAACTGATCCCTCTGGGGCCCCACTCATTATGTCCTTACAGCATGACTGTGAACCACTGATAACTACTCTCTGGGAATGGTTTTCCAACCAGTTTTGCATCCACCTTACTGTAGCTCCATCTAGGTTGCATTTCCCTAGTTTGTTTATGAAAAGGTCATGCGAGACAGTACCAAAAGCGTTCCTAAAGTCAAGATATACCACGTCTACTGATTTCCCCCCTATCCACAAAGCTTTCCTGGACAGGGCAATAAGCCATCAGGTTGGTTTGACACAATTTGTTTTTGACAAATCCACACTGACTTTTACTTTCACCTTATTATCTTCTAGATGTTTGCAGATTGATTGCTTAATTATTTGTTCCTTTATTTTTCTGGGTACAGAAGTTATGCTGACTGGTCTGTAATTCCTTCGGTTGTCCTTATTTCCCTTTTTATAGATTGGCTCTATATTTGGCCTTTTCCAATTTTCTGGAATCTTTCCCATCTTTCATGACTTTTCAAAGATAACACTAATGGCTCAGATTTCTCCTCAGTCAGCTTCTTGAGTACTCTAGGATGCATTTCATCAGGCCCTGGTGACTTGAAGACATCTAACTTGTCTAAGTAAATTTTAACTTGTTCTTACCCTATTTTAGCATCTTCTGATCCTACCTCATTTTCACTGGCATTCACTACGTTAGATGTCCAATCACCACCAACCTTCTAGGTGAAAACTGAAACAAAGAAGTCATTAAGCACCTCTGTCATTTCCACATTGTCTGTTATTGTCTCCCCCCACACCAATTGAGTAACAGGCCTACTCTGTCCTTGGTCTTCCTCTTGCTTCTTATGTATTTGTAGAATGTTTTCTTGTCACCCTTTATGTCTCTAGCTAGTTTGATCTCATTTTGTGCCTTGGCCTTTCTAATTTTGTCCCTACCTACTTGTGTTATTTGTTTATATTCATCTTCTGTGATTTGAGCTAGTTTCTACTTTTTGAAGGACTCTTTTTTGATTTTTAGATCATTGAGGATCTCCTGGTTAAGCCAGGGTGGTCTCTTGCCATACTTCCTATCTTTCCTATGAAGTGGGATAGTTTACTCTTGTGCCTTTAATAATGTCTCTTTGAAAAACTGCCAACTGTCTTCAGTTGTTTTTCCCCTTAGACTTGCTTTCCATGGGATCTTACCTACCAACTCCCTGAGTTTGCTAAAGTCTGCCTTCTTGAAATCCATTGTCTTTATTTTGCTGTTCTCCCTCCTACCATTCCTTAGAATCATGAACTCTCATTTCATGATCACTTTCACCCAAACTACCTTCCACTTTCAAATTCTCAACCAGTTCCTCCCTATTTGTCAAAATCAAATCTAGAACAGCCTCTCCCCTAGTAGTTGTCTCCACCTTCTGAAATAAAAAATGGTCTCCAATACATTCGAAGAACTTATTGGATAATCAGTGCCCTGCTTTGCTATTTTCCCAACACATGAATGAGTAGTTGAAGTTCCCCCATCCCCACCAAGTCCTGTGCTTTGGATTATTTTGTTAGTTGTTTAAAAAAAGCCTCATTCACCTCTTCTTCCTGGTTCGGTGGTCTGTAGTATACCCCCACCATGACATCATACTTGTTTTTTACCCCTTTTATCCTTACCCAGAGACTTTCAACAAGTCTGTCTCCTATTTCCATCCTAACCTCGGTCCAACTGTATACACTTTTAATATATAAGGAAACATCTCCTCCCTTTTTTCCCTGTCTGTCCTTCTTGAACAAGCTGTACCCTGCTATACCAATATTCCAGTCGTGTGTATTATCCCACCAAGTCTCTGTGATGCCAACTATGTCATAGTTGTGTTTATTTACTAGCATTTTGAGTACTTCCTTCTTATTTCTTATACTTCTCACATTAGTATACAGACATCTAAGATACTAATTTGATTCCCCCCCCGCCCCCAGTTCTGTCTTGTCTCTCCTTTATCTCTGCTATAACAGCCCATGCTCCCCCCAAATTCTGAATCTTCTCCCAGGTCTTCATGTTCTTGACTTACCTGTGGGCTTTGGTCACCTGCCCTCTTCGAACCTAGTTTAAAGCCTTCCTCACTAGGTTAGCCAGTCTGTATCCAAATATGCTCTTCCCCTTCCTCGAGAGGTGGACCCTATCTCTATTTAGCAGTCCTTCTTCCTGGAACAGTATCCCGTGGTCAAGGAAGCCGAAGCCCTTCTGGTGACACCATCCTCCCAGCCAGGCATTTACCTCCAGGATGCATCTGTCTCTGCCTGGGCCCCTACCCTTAACTGGAAGGATCGAAGAGAACACCACCTGTGCTCCCAGCTCCTTCACCCTTACTCCCAGAGCTCTGTAGTCACTTCTGATCTGCTGAGGGTCATACTTCGCATTATCATTCGTGCCCACATGGGTGAGCAGCATGGAGTAGTAGTCAGAGGGCTGGATGATCTTTGACAATCCCTCTGTAAAGTCTTGGATATGGGCCCCTGGAGACAGCATACCTCCTGGGATGCCATGTCAGGGTGACAGATGGGTGCCTCTGTCTCCCTCAGAAGACAGTGACCAACCACCACTACCCTACGTTTACTTCTGGGAGTGGTGGCTGCGATTCTCCCAGCCATGGGGGTACATGGCTTCTCCTTCTCCACTTTTGGGTGTGATTCCTCATCGCTCGTTGCCAGGGCAGCATATCAGTTTTCCATCACCACGGTGGGTGTGTTGGAAGTGGGGGTGGAGTGCTGCCTGCTTCCGGAAGTAACCAGCAGCCCGTGTCCTCCCTGGGACAGAGCCATATCCTCCTCCATTGTGGCCAGCTTACACCGAGGTTGAATCTGGTCCTTAATTTACAAGATGAACTATGGCTGAGCACATACTGGCTGCTGTGTTGGTTTATAGTCCCCGGACAACTCGTCTCTAACTCATCAGTGTAAAGTACCTTAAGTTGAGTACGAAAGCTGCTATGTACAATCAAAACCTACTCTGGATTTAAACAAATGGAGCCAATATTTTTAACATGGGCTTCAATTCTTGCCCTCATGACCCTTCCCCATGTCCTAACTTTTATGTCTGGCATTAGTCCTTTCCCATAATAGTGACTGCTCATGGTGTTCTTGGATAGTACCTGATATTGCTGTCTGGAGGACTGTAGCCTGTTCTACCCAGTGTCATCAAGCAGCCCTGGTTGGAAGCATTCAGCATGCTCAGAGTTAATTCCTACTAGGTAGTGAGGCTTGAGAACTCCTCCCCTCCTTCCCAAAGGTGAGTGGCTGCACACAGGCATCAGAGAGGAGAGGAGCTTTCATTACAGTGCCAGTGTGACTGGCAGAATGTCGGAGAGCAGCAGAAGTTTCTCACATCACAACCTGACAGGAGAGAGACTGATTTAGTGGTAAGGAGATTAATTTGCAGTCTGAGCTAAATGCATTTAAAATTGCCATTAAGGAAGCTTCTTACAAGCTCAGGGCTTTAGCAGCATCTTAACCCCAGTCTATTCATTTGTTCTGTTGTTATATTTTATTTTTTTATTTCATTTTATTTTATTAACAAGAGCAATGTCATAGGGTGTTTGTTTTTTTCCTAATCCCATCTGTTTTGCTATTGTTTGTAGAATACTTACCTGGGATTAGAATCAGGATTTCACTTTTCCATTAACACACATCAAAGACTTAAAGGTAAAATGATAGCAGACTGAGTATCTGAAAGAGAGAACTTCCTAATGCGATAACACTACAGGAGTTAAATAAATGTATCCACTGGAGCTTGGTTCAGATAATCGGCTTAATCATGCACAGTGTTTATTGAAAATATGGAAGTTAAATTTCAGTGAAATGAAGTTTACACAAATTTCACATTTATTGCTCTAAAATTGCTTGTATTCCCTTAACAACCAGACATTCTGTATTGGCTTATGTGATTTTTCTTTTTCTTTTTTTTTGTCTGTAAAGAAATGAAGGAAATGACAGCTGATGGCAACATAATATGTCAAATCAAAGAGCAGAGGTCAGAAAGACTAAGTACAGTTATAAAATAATGTCTTCCAATAGTTTTCCTTACTCTAGAAGTTTGCAAAGGGGCTTCTATAAAATATGGTTTACTTGCAACTTTTTCTTTTTGCATTTAAAACTACTCCAAGGTTGGACAAAATGCCATGAAATGTTCAGAATGGAAAAGCCCTGCACGAGCACTATATGAGCGAATAGGTCTTTTTCATCTCTAGATCATGGTCTAGGCTCTGTGCTTTATTTGATAGGTGCAGAGCAGGGGAGGGTCGAAGCCACAGATCGAGCTGTCTGTCTATCTTGTGGTTTTATACGGCTGCCCGTCACCATCGTATCTGAGCACCTTCCATGTAAAATCAATAGCAGTAATGCTGTCCCTACTGGACTTCATGAAGTCCCTGGAACGGCTCCTTGACTAGGGCTCAAAACGTTGCTTGGGGTAGAAGTTGATGAGCTAACTGGGGAGGTAGTATGGCCTTGTGGATGGAGCACTAGTCTGGGACTCAAGAGAGCAGGGTTCTCGTCCTAGCTCTGCTGGTGGGTAACCGTTAGCAAGTCACTTCCCTGGATGTGCCTTAGTTTCCTCTTCTGTAAAATGGGGATAATAATATTGACCTCCTTTTGAAAAGTGCTGTGAGATCTACGAATGAAATATGTTATCTATGAGCTAAGTGGTATTATCCAGTCCTACGATGACCCAGGCTATGGCATACTGTAGGTTCTGCTCTAAAGTAGGCAAGCTAACTAGGACCACCTGTGGATTGCTGGTGGGTAGTAGTGCTCTGGTCGTGCTCCCTCCCATGGTTTTCTACCCCTGACATGCCCCCTTCACTGGTGACTACAGGACATGTGGCGCAGCAGCCAGCTACACCGACTTTGCACCAGCTGAGAACTCCCCCATGTGGTGGGAATCACCAGCTGGGAGAAGCTGGTAGCCTTCCAGCCCCTTTAGGCCGCCAGAGCAGCTCAAAGGAGATTGATAACAAGAAAGGCCCTGGCTCTATAATTCAATGATTTATGTTACATCACAGGTATGAGGCAGTTGCAATATGATGGCTTGTGTGTGTAACTTTCTGTCTGTCTCAAGTACTATATACTAACATGTTTCTGCTCTGCCTGGAGCGAATGCACACAGAGGATGAAGGTCTTAATAGTGGAACAGTTATTAAAGATTATCTCTTAGATCTCGTGGTAGGGGTCTGTGATTTTTTTTTTTTTTTTTTTGAACAGAAGGCCCTGAGTTTTGTGCCTGCTTGTGACCATGAAGTCCAAGTGGCTACAGGATGTGGAATGGGTAGTGATGGCAGAGATTTCTACGACCACAGAATCATTATGGAGGCTGGCCATAGGCCTGTCCACCACGTCGGTCATGTGGGGACCCTTCACTCTAGAGTTCTGCTGTTTCCTGCTTGAGTAGGGATTCAGTAAACTACAAAAGGTCCTTCCAGCAATAGGCCATGGCACCTGCCCCACTGCCTCTGCCTCCATCACTTGGGAAACTGCCTTCTGCTGCTGCTGGGTGGACACTGCCTGGCTAGTCTTTCTGCATTGCTGCCTGCCTCCTTGCTCTGTGGGGCTGTGACTTGTGCCTCTCAGAGCGTGGCACAGGAGCTGCTAGGAGGAGTTGGCTGGCACCGCTCTCCTCTGTTGTGCTAAGGAAGGGTGTAGAAGGAAAGGCAGATTGGGGGAGCATGAAGAGTGAAAGGAAGAGATGTGGGGTTTAGGTGAGTCATTTGTATGTTGTTTATTCATGTTCCTGTATGATGATCTCTTGGCGGATGCCCCACAGTGCTGTCTATCTGAGGGAAGATGAAGGCAGAACAATATTACTCTGGGGGCTTGGGGAAGGACCATATTTTTGAAAATGCTCAGGTCCCAGTTAGGCAGCAAGAAGAAGGGAACAGATTTTCAAAGGGGTTCAGCATGTTGGGGGAATGCGGAGGGCTTCTGGAAATCCGGCCAATTCCCTTAGGCACTTTGGAAAATCTGGCCCTAACTTTTGGGCAGGCATGTTCAAAGGGGACATGTCCCATGGAGTAGATACAAAAAGCACTTCATCCACCATATCTCACTCAGAAATGCAGTCATCTCTGGAGTGGAGCCCAGCAGCTGTTTATCAGTATACAACAACATTACACCTCACAAGTTTTAGCGCAGGAAGAGAAGAACAGTGCATGTTGAGATGGGTCTAAATTACAGAGTTTGCATCCAAACTGGAATTTTTCCAGTGTCCAGCTGTGTCTAGACCTGATGTGGTGGTTTGGTTTGGATTTGGAACTGAATGTCTCCCACCCCTGCTGGTGTTCGCATCTGGGGTTCCAGCTCAGGCCCATCTCTAGCAGTATCTAACGGGTACTAGAGGAGGGAGTTTAGGCAGGGATATAATGTAATATTCTATACTTCAGTTTGGCCAGGTCAAAGTGGCTAACACCCCAATTCCAGCAAAAACCATTATGGGGTCATTTTATCTCCTTTTAAAAATTGTTTTGTATGAATTTAGTGCCATGGAGACTGAAGTCCTCGGTCAACAGAACAGGGACAGCATGAGTAGCAGCACAGAAAACTTCCCACTCAGTACTCTACCCTGAACTGCAAAGGTCACCTCTAAAGGGAAGAGGCTACTCTCTTTTCTGTGCCCATTCACTCCTTGGCCTCCCGACTCAGATTGCCAGCTAGGGTACTTGTGATGGTTGTCCTGCGATGTAGACATCCGCACACTAGGAACGAAATGGAGACCACAAACTCATTTAACATAGGAGACAGAACAGCCACCAGATGGTAACAAGTTCCAGTCACTTCTGAGCTGGGTTGGATCTGGACCAGTGAAGTAGATTAAAATGGCAAAATCTTTTTTTCTACTGAACTTTTGCTGTTGACTTCAATGGGGCCAGTATTTTACCCAAAGACTGTATAGCCTAGGGTATTACTGCCTGTCTGAGCTATTCAGGCTCCCCTGTCATGGGACTGTTAATAGCACAAGAGTGTGTGGTAGGGAGGTAAACTTGATTCCAAAATGGAGCCCAAACCAACAGATTTTAGTCTGAAGTTGCCTAGGGCTCATGCAGATATAGTACAAATTTAGTTTGCTTCTCAGTGGGGAAGAGGAAATTCTCCACTGCAGTGGGGGAGGGAAAGAGTGCCTATAGATGTAGCAACCAGAGCCCAAAAGAGCCACACAATCCCACTCAGTTTTGTATTCACCAGACGACTTGTTACTGCAGCTGCTCATCTGTTTAGCTTTCTTCTGTTTGTTAATTGCATTTCATTGAAGAAGCAAGAGAGAGATCATTCCAAAGTTATACTGGGTGCATTATAATGTGAAAGGACAAAAGATGGATTTTAATGACCTGTCGTATATCTGATGTGTGTAGAGGAGATGGATCCTGGAGAAATGACATGGGTCCTGGTTTGCTTTTTTAAAAATTCATTTATTCTAGGTCTCAATTTGAATATTTTTACTAAAATTAAAATAATAATAAAAAATCACTATCCACTAAACTGGAACATTGACTTTCTCCCTTCCCTCCCTAGATGTAACTGATGAAACATTTTCAACCGGAACATGCTGGCAGGGAAGAGCAGGAGTAGAAATGACAGCTCCTGCTGCTCCTGCTATGCTATATTTTAATTAAAAAAACCCTCAACCTCTAAAAGTTTCATAAATCAAACGCCTTTAACATCTGTTTGAAATTCTTTTATTAAAGCGCAGAGTTCCAGCATGGCTGTCATTTCACCAATGTCCTCAAAGGGCTCTCTCTCTCCTTAATTAAAAAAATACCCACCGCCACCCCAGTAATAGAGTTCAAGGGGAAGGAGTTTGAGAGGGAGAGAGGCATGTTAGTGCTGGTGTGGAACTGGGATTGTTATCCATTGTTGTGACAGGAAGAATGGTCCAGGGCTAGCTGGGGACTTGAGAGACTCAGCTTCAATTGCCTGCTCTGCCAAAGACTTCCTGGATGGCCTTGGACAAGTCACTTAGGGTATGTCTACACAGCCCGTGGAAGCGAGCCTCCCAGCAGGGGCCGAGAGACTTGGGTTTGCGTCCTTAAGCTTCAGGGTCCAAGCTCCAGCCCAAGCTGGGTGTATTCAAAGAGCTGTCTGTGCAGCTATTTTTAAAGTGTTAGCAGAAGCCCCGCAAGCCCAAGTCTCTCAACCCGGGCTGGGTTGCTCGCTGCTGCAGGCTGTGTAGATGTGCCTGTAGGCTCTCTGACAAGTTTCAGAGTAGCAGCCGTGTTAGTCTGTATTCGCAAAAAGAAAAGGAGGACTTGTGGCACCTTAGAGACTAACCCATTTATTTGAGCATAAGCTTTTTCTTTTTGTGAATACAGACTAACACGGCTGTTACTCTGAAACCTTTCTTTTTGTAGGCTCTCTGTGTCTCGTTTCTTATCTGTAAAATGTGGATAATAGCACTGCTCTACCTCTCAGGCCTGCTGTGATGGTAAATATATTAAAGTTTGTGAGGTGCTCAGATATTATGGTAATGGCAACCACATAATACCGCTCAGTATAATTCTTCTTGGGATTGCTTTGAGGCCATCAAGTAAAGAAAGCAATTGTTGCCTAGAAGGCACAAACCTGCCTGTCTGTATAAATACAGTGCAATCTCTTCTGTAAAAAGAAAAGGAGTACTTGTGACAGCTTAGCGACTAACAAATTTATTTGAGCATAAGCTTTCGTGAGCTCACAAGTCCTCCTTTTCTTTTTGCGAATACAGACTAACACGGATGCTACTCTGAAACCAATCTCTTCTGTGTGATTGGAGTGCTCGCTGCCCCAGTTCCCCTAGGAATGCTCAGTGGGGGAATACACATTGCTATATAAAGTCTCCGTTTGGTTAAAGGAACATGGTCAATATTCAGGTTTCAGAGTAGCAGCTGACTCATATGAGAAACATTCTTGTGTCTGAGAGAGGCCACAGGCATTGAGGGAACAAACTGAAACAAAATGCAAATGACTATTCGTTGCTAATTTCTTTCAGTTGCAATAACTTGCAATTTGCTTTTAATTTTTAATTTAATTTCATTTAACTTTTAATGTGTTTAACTTTTAACTATGGGAGTACAAGCCTGGGCCCATGGTTTGCATATATAGGAGGATCTTTAAGTGACATTAATTCCTAAACAACCTTTCTGGAGTGAAGAATTTTTGAAACTTACAATGTAAAGTATGAAATCGCTTAGCCAGTAATCTGGTTGGGTGGCTTTTCTATTTCAGAGATTGCAGCTGAACATAGGAATGGCATCAGAAAGACCCGCTAGCACTGTCAGAGTCGGCTGTGAGGTCAACTGACAACGACACAGCAGAATCAGAACTTTCAGCACCCTGAGCAAATAATAAACAAATGTTTCCAACAAGAGACCGTCTCTGGGCCCAAATGTGTCAGTCAGCAGGCCTGGCCGGGCCCAGCACTCAGGAAAAGGACTAAGAACACAATGGAGTGAAATAAGAGGGATGCTGCTGGTTTGTTGGGTGCAGGAGGAAGTTGGCAGGGATCCATAGTTATTTGCAATATATAGAGGATAAGAATATTTTTAGGACTTTTTTTGAAGAAAAAAAAAAAAGGATAATTTTGCCTGGAGGAAGCTGGTGGCTTCAGAAAGTAGAGAGGCAGACCCGAGCATGGTTCCTGTTTTCTCTCTGGGCTGAGTCCCTTCTATTGGCCCTCTTTTGTCCCTCTCTGAGGTTTGTGAAGACCCCTGACAAGGAGACACTTTGAATGCCCTGAGGCAGCTATCTTTAATTTCACTTCTAACCAGAGATCTAAGAAGATGGGCAGCAGTTTGACGCTGGTTGGGGCCCTCTGGGCTTTCCTATCCTTTCTCACAGCAGTTGCCAGCTCGGCCAGTTATTTTGTGCCCTGTTGGCTCTTTGGTTCCCAGCTGGGGAAGCCAGTTTCATTTGGCACCTTCCGACGGTGCACGTACCCAGCTCAGACGGAGGAGAGGCACCTGGTGATGGTGGAAGAATGTGGGAGGTATGCCAGTTTTGGGGCTATCCCCAGCTTATCCTGGCAGATCTGCACCGTGGTGACCGGAATTGGCTGTGCCTTGCTGCTCCTGGTGGCGTTAGCAGCCATCCTGGGTTGCTGCGTGGAAGAGCTCATCTCTCGGATGATGGGACGCTTCATGGGGGCAGCCCAGTTTGTAGGAGGTAATGGAAATCGTTTGCATTATGCTACATACGTGAGTGGCTTCAGGTTGCTGATTAGCATATGCTAATACTGTACAGTGATCTTCAGAGCACTGCTCAGGACACCAACGATCACTGAGCTGGAAACATCTGTACTAAACATCTGAAGTAAATCTTGGTAGCATGAATATGATTTTTTTATTCCAATACTTGACCTTTCTGTTTTCATGTATAGTCTTTAATTTCCTGTTGGCTCTACATAAATACCACGTCTGTTACGAGAGACACTCTCAGTACATTAAATGTTCTTCTGGTTTGTTACCAGGCCCAGAGCTGTAACATTCCCCAAAAGCCAGGAATCTCTGTGGGAAAACGTTCTGCCTACTTCAACTGCTGGTTCTTTCTGTTTAATACACGTCCCCTGATGACAGTTACTTCAGCACTTTATTTCCACTCTCGTCTTTAACACCTCTGGTTACTTCAGTCATGCCTATTCCAGAATAAGGAGGACCTGGCCTTTCTGAACCCTCCTAATGCTTGTCTGCACAACAAGTTGCTTCACGGCAAGCCAGGATGTGACTCCACAGTGCCTTGGCTTGCTGTGTGGTAGCGTCTTATGTGGATTCTGCTACAGCGCAGTGAAAGCCCCAGAGCGCGGCTTGAAATACTTCCGGCGGTAGTACGCCGAGCCGTGCTTCGGCCCTTTCACTGTGCGATAGCAGTGTCTGCGTGGGCCATTACTGCGCTGCAGGCTCAGGAGTTGTAGATTCACTCCGGGACATGCCATTCGGCAACTTGCCGTGTAGACAAGCCCTGAGAGAGTTCAGAAGGGCCAGGCCCCTCTCACTGTAGAATGACAGGTTTCAGAGTAACAGCCCTGTTAGTCTGTATTCGCAAAAAGAAAAGGCGTACTTGTGGCACCTTAGAGACTAACCAATTTATTTGAGCATAAGCTTTCGTGAGCTACAGCTCACTTCATCGGATGCATACTGTGGAAAGTGTAGAAGATCTTTTAATACACACAGAGCATGAAAAAATACCTCCCCGACCCCGCTCTCCTGCTGGTAATATTGTAAGGAGAGTGATCACTTTAGATAAGCTATTACCAGCAGGAGAGCGGGGTGGGAGGAGGTATTTTTTCATGCTTTGTGTGTATTAAAAGATCTTCTACACTTTCCACAGTATGCATCCGATGAAGTGAGCTGTAGCTCACGAAAGCTTATGCTCAAATAAATTGGTTAGTCTCTAAGGTGCCACAAGTACTCCTTTTCTTTTCACTGTAGAAGAGGCTTGCTGTGTAGACAATCCCGTGGCTATGTTTTCACTGCAAACAAGAGTTGCTGTCTTGTTGGGTGAGGGAGGGAAGTTGACAGGGACCCACCATAGTTTGCGAGACAAAAAGGATAATATTTGTAGGTGTTTTTTTGGGAAAAAAAGGATAATTTTTCCTGTGGGATGCTAGTGGCCTCTGGAAGCAGGGAGATAGCTCCCTCTGGTGGACACGGGACACTGTAGTTTTCACCTCAGCTAATCGAGGTCCACTCCAGGCAGGGCATATATTGTTGATTTTGACTAGCTACATCCAGGTGAGAGCCACCTATGCCTTGACTCCACAAGGATGTTACGTTGTGGCAGTTCTCTGAGGTTAGCTATCTCCACATATAAATACACCTCTTCTTGCAGTCACGATATAGCTGTGGAGAGGTTCCCCCAATGAAGCTTTCTACCTAGCATAACCCCCCTTGGCATTTTATCAGTCCTGCCCTTGTCTGTCTCCACAATTCTGTTATCATTATCTGTATTTCAGGAATGTGTCAAGACCCCATTGTCCTGGGCACTATACACACACACAGCTAGAGACAAACCTGCCCTGCAGCGCTTACAATCCGAAGAGAGAAGACAAGAAGAGGGAAACTGAGGCACAGAATGGGACAGGGACTTGCCCAGTGGCAGACAACAGGCCAGTGTCAGGGCTGGCAACAGAACTCAGGTCACCTGAGTCCTTGTCCTGTGCCCTAGCCAGAACCCATTCCTATCCATAATGTCCTTCCTCCATACATATGGACCAGTGTAACCCCAGTTTGACACCCGCATCACTCCTTTGAAATCAGTCTGGTGTGAAGCTGGAGTGACACCTTGGTGAATCAGGCTCATTGTCTCCAGAACTGTGGGATGCCAAAAGAATCCTACCTCTATCTCTGTCCTCTCTTCCCCATGCTTTGTTCAGTCCAAACTGATCAACTACTTGTCCCCTTCCTGTCTGCCTTCCATTCTCAGCTCCAGGCCTCCTACCCCCTCTGCCTTCATTCCCTCTCTGAGACTGCCCGCCATGCCTCAACCTTCTCTTCTCTCTCCTTCCCGGAGGGTTCCATACCCTCCTTGTGCCTGTTAGTAAATTACCATAGATGACTGATGGAAAATAAAAGGCAAAAGCTTCCATCAGCTGCAGCAGCATTGCTCAAGGCGGGAGGTACCGCAGTATACAATTACCAGCAGTGATTTGCCCCAGTGCCACTAACCCATCCTTGAAATATAGTTTTGCACTGGGGCAACTTATCCCAGTTTCAAGTATCAGCACAAAACATGACTTATGGCCTGTGGCTTTGCATGTCTACACTAGGGGTTTGCACCACCGCACCAGTAGTCAAAATCTCCACTGTAGCCAAGGCCTTAGTGTGTTGTCTCCATTTTTGTAATAAACTGGAACGTCTTTGTTTTCCCTCCCCAGTGTGATACTGCTAGTTTATTTACACAATAGCTTGAAAACCACGGAACACATGGCAAAGCACCACAGCAAACCAATGTGCGACTGCTTCCCTCTCACAAAGGAGGGCTATGAGCATAGAGGGCTAGACATATAAAACCATGGTGTGATGGATTGGAAGCAGCCATCTAGGCAATGCAAACAGGAGTTCCAACCACACAGCTGAGCTGGCACTAAGGGAGAAGCTTAAACAAAGGAGCCCTCGAGGAGTTGAAAATAAATCTCATTTGTGGGTGCTATATTCAAATGTGAAATCTATGTTTATACTAGGCTATCATCCCCCTCCAGGTTCCGATCTCTGTTATGTCAGTATAAATTCCAAAGAATGCCACCGATACCAGAATCTGGCTGCCACACTGTAGGGAACTGAAGTCAGTGGGCTGCTCAGCACTTCCGAAAATCAGCTCACTACTATTTTCTCTAAGGCCGTCCCTTTGTATTAAGATGTCCTCATATGCGCGTGCTGTGCATAATATAGATAACTCATTGCCATGAGGCTTTCAGCTGCACAAGCCCCAGAAATCAGCACCATGAAGGATGAACTATTTCTGGGGAAATAGAGTTACATTTGGATTATTTTTTAAAATGTGATAAATATTGGAACGTTCGTAATTGCCTCCTTTTACGCTTTAGCTTGGCATGCAATGGGCTTGTCTAGGCAGCTGGTTGTGTTTGTTGGAGACCGCTTCCAACTGAACAAAACAAAGAGGCATTGTTTAAAAATGCACATCTAGCCTTATTGGCAATAACCGTAGGATTACAAGGATGGTGCCAGAATCCAAACGCTTTAATTGACTGCTGTCCGAGTCCCCCCACCATCCAGAGCTCTGTAATAGATGCATTTCTCTCCAGGATCTCCTCCCATCCCATCTGACCAGAAGGATTTATTCATCATAGTGATCTATGTCACCCTCAGCAACAGAGTACAAATTGCTTTCAACAGATCTTTGCAGAATCAGGCAACTTGCCCTGGGACATCAGACTATAACAGCAGGGTAGCAGTGTTCTGCACAGTGGTATAAAGGGGAGGAAGAAAGGGTTTGTTGTTAAGGCCCAGGACTGTATTCATTAGATCTCAGTTCAGTTCTTGACTCTGCTACAGACTCTTTGTGTGGCCTTGGGTCAGACACTTAATCTCTGTGCACTCTGGTTCCCCATCTATAAAATAAGGACAATAATACTTCCTTAAGTTATTGTGGGGGAGAACCTACTAACGTTAGTGAAGGGCTTGAATCCTACAGCAGTGAAGGAAGATGCGCCACAATATCTTGACACCAATGGATGTTAACCCCTCTTGTGATGGATGTGATAATTTTCAGTTAAGAAAAATAAATAGTCCCGATTCTTGGCTTTGCTGGGGCTGCTTTGCATCTCTCTAGCAGTGCAAAGCAGCCATGAACCCAGAAGATTCATCCCTGTACAAGGAGAATCCACAGGTGGTACAGAGCATATACTCTGGTGGTTCCTGGCTGCTAGACTAGCTCCGGGGAGTGTAAGTAATTTATATTGGACGATGGGCTGGCCCCAGGATCAGGGGAGCCCCTCTCTGGCCCTGCATCAAGTGCAGCATGGCCAGACCAGCAAATCAGGCACATCATTCTTTGATGATGGGAGAGTGGAGACAGCTGCAGGTTTCACAGGTTTAGATGAACAGAGGTAGAGGATGGCAAATAGGTCTAAGCATCAGGTTTGAAATACCTAGAGTCCCTGCCATCAGGGCTAGGAATCCCAGCAGGGCTGACTCAGCTTTTGACCTTTCCATGAATCTCCTGTTTGGCTGATTGTACATCCTTTGGGCAGGTCCTCGATCTTCTCCACGCCAAACCACTCCTTAGTCTCAGTTCCCTGTGGAGCAGTTCAACCACCTCCACCTTCCATGTAGACCAGGGTAGATCTACTCATGGAGCGTGCCCTACATGTGTAGAGTAGGGGACTTTGCTGCCAAGCTACATTCTGGGCAGAGTCTGCAATTCCCCACCACAGTCGTGTTTGCCTAGTTATTCAATTTAAATGCAATCTTTTGATGTTGGTTCCATATAGTCTCATGGCCTATGCTACACTGTGAGAAACAAGAATGATGTAAGATACATCATTGGGTTGCATGTACGTTAGCAGAAATCACTCCCTGGGTGACTATTCCTGCTGAAGAACTAGTTTTCAGATTATGTTCATAGAATATCAGGGTTGGAAGGGACCTTAGGAGGTCATCTAGTCCAATCCCCTGCTCAAAGCAGGACCAATCCCCAACTAAATGTTG